CCTCTGCAGATGTTTTATGGCACCGAACATTTCCAAGACGCTTTATTATTTATTACGATATTGCCGTTTAGAACCTAATCTCCGTTTTTATTATCCAGGAGAAACAATGGTCATCGCCGTCCGAACACTATTTTCGGCATGTTGCGCACAGATGTGGAATACGTTTGCGTGGGAAAGTACAAACCCTGCTGTCGTTTTGTGAAGGGTTTGGCGAAAGAGAATTCTAGAAGACGGCATCTTAACTAACACAAACAATAACATTACCCTACTACCGGAGCAGCCGGGTCACAACTAAAAAACGAATGCGTTGTATGACGGCAGCTTGCTACAAACACTATACATTTCTTTTTGAAATGACTATACAATAAATATATACATAAATATCCTTTATTTTAATGAAAAACTATTGTGAAATACGCTAATTGTGTTTTAAAAATTCGTTATTAGTATTAATCGATTAAAGCTTGTTCACTGTAGCAAGTTTAATTCCATTGAAATAAATTTAATTACGCTCGTGAAAATAAAACGAACTATATTTTGGCAAATACCGATAAATTATCATAATATAATTTAGTACACGTTACGCACAAGGTATTCCTAAAGCGCATTGCACTCGTTATCTTAAGCAGGTGTCACTTCAACCGCTAACTGAAAGTTTGAAAATAAACCGCCGAGTCGTAAAACTCTTAAAAAAATAAACTTGGCAATGCGTTAATCTTTCACGGCTAAAACATCTGTACGTCCTCCCAACAAGGGGATGAAACGCATCCATTTTATCTTAAGCCCGCATTAGTAGAGATCATTGCTTATTAATAATATTATAAGTACTTACATGACGGCGTACTTTACATTATTACAAACTTTTATTTTTATCATATGCATGTTACTAAGATCGGAACCTATGAATACATAAAATTTTTGTAATCTGCACTGATTTATATTTTGGATTGTTTATATTTTGAACTAAGTATCAGGCGTAACTTCTGTCATGTAATCTATACAATATGTATTGATACTTTGGTGAAAACCAAAAAGAGGGATTATCTACTCTTAAAAAAAACTGCTAAGGATGAAAGCCGTGATCGCTTGTGTATGTTTATTCACTGTAAACATGATCTAGCGCTTAAACTTTTGTGCAGTGTCTGTCAGTTGGTCAACATAAGTAGTGAAGTGATTAAAAAAAATATGTTTTCTCTATACATAAGCGTTTTGTTAGTTTCCTTAAATAGTATGATTTAGATATCAGGCCAAACCATTAAGTCAAACAATATATATGTATATGTGTATATCAAGGTAAATATCAATATTTCAGGCCGTATTCACAACATGCTACCTATAACCTACCGTCTCGTATTTGTTTTTATGAGAAAGTGGCAAACGAGCTGGCGATTTACCTGATGTTAAATGATAACCGCAGCCCATGGACATTTGCAACACTCGTAGGGTTGCAAATACGTTGTCACCTTCAAATAGAGGCCACGGCTACCTCACTCACGAGACGAAACGCAGAATTATAATAAAAAAGATTTTTTTTAACAAAATTATTAATCTAAATATTTAGAATTTTTTCGATTGACTTGATTTATTTCTAAAGTCTAATAATACACTAGGTGACAGAGCAGTGTCTAGACGCTAGCTTTTAATTTACATAGTATACACGAGCAACCCGACGTCATATTCGTGTAGCTGCTCCAAGAAAACTGTTAAATTGCAATTTCAAGCGCTTTTGTACCGCGTCAGCGGTGAAATAAATACCCTTATAAAATGTGCATTTAAAAAAAAAAGAATTTTTGAACAATGTATGTGAAGTCTACCAATCCGCAGTCAACTCGCACGGTGTACTATAGGGAAGGCCTTTACCCAGCAGTGGGACATAATATATATGCTTGTTGTTGTTACTTTACTTTTACTTTTGAAGGTGAATTTTTTAAGGACTAGCATGATATACTGGAACATATTTGTACTGTACGCCCAATGCAATATTGGTCGGTACGGTAGATATAATTTAGTGAAAATGCTTACCGTTTTTCCCGCCAAGAGCTTCAGTACCTACTTTCAATTCGTTTCCCCAACTAATCAGCGGCGACGTCGTCACGTGTGAGAATCAAGTTAAAGATAACGGTAAGAGCATTTCTGTTCATGAATGAAACTAACTTCCAGTACGGATATTGCCTTGGGTGTTTCGCAGATGTCGGTGCGTGAGTCATTTCGGATCCGGCTTTGGTACTTCGGGTACGAGCCATTTAAATCCAACGCGCCCGTTCCATTTTCGTAAGTTTCATTTGATATTATACTAGCGGGAAATCTAACGTAATATTACAGTGGCAATTTATGATATTTACCGCTGCTACGAGTTCGTAGATGACCTCATATGTTAAATGTTAAGCGTAAAAACGATATAATCAATTCCACAACCTTCTCCGTACGCGATTACTCATATAAAATTATATATTAAATACTGCGTACTTTTTTCAGTGGTTGGACTATGCAGTTTCTGCTGTTGCACAAATGTGCAGGATCGTCCGATCAAGTAGGCTAGGCTAGGCTCAACAGAGACTAGCGTAAAGTGATAATACTTTTGGTGAATGAGGTACAGGCACTTTTTATTTGTCGACTACGCGTCTGCAATTACTGGTGGTAATCACTTAAAACCAGGTACACTGCCGGCGCGCTAGGCAATTTTTCACATAAAAATACCTACCTAGGTATATTAAAATATAATAGATATCAAATACATACAACATTACATATTAAATACTAAAATGTGCATTCTCATACTATCTATCATTAAAATTCATGAATAAACCAAAATCGAATTGACTATCGGTATAAACAACGAAGGTTCGGAAATATTCTTGGAATGAAGGAGAAACGATAAATAACCCGGCAACATCGCGCATGTCGCTGTAGGTGAATATTCCCGAAATATCTACATTACCTATAAGATTATATAAATACCTATTATTATATAGATACCTATAAACTTTGAAGGGTTTAATCTTTGATTATATACTAGTCAAGTGTATAATCAAAGGGTTTAATAAGTATGCTTATTAAATTTATCAAGATTAAAAAAGATTTTGGTAACGCTAACTTTCTTAACTTATTAATGTTTTTTTTAATAAATGTCAAAATAATTCGTTGAATGAAAGATAGAAGAGCTTAATAACATAATTTCATATCATTCTGAGAACTAATGTTATTAAGTTAATATTAAGTATCCTTAAATTTAAAAATACATGTAGTAGTTACATGCCCTACATGCAATACGCGTGCAGGGCCTTTTTTCATTTATTTTCACAACAGTTTGGAGATTGCAGCCGTGGCCGAAATCGTGAAATTTTCTTAAAATTAATGTTTTTTTAATGAAAAATATTTCGATAGTGTAATTTTTTTGCCAAGAGCCGTGAAAGCTCAGTCTGGCTGGGCGCTCGTTTTATGTACTTATACCTACCAAGAAATAGTCTATACTTCAATGATATTTTAAACTTTTAATAACTATATCTTTAAACACAATAACAGAATAAGTTTGAAAGTCGAATAATGTGTTTGTATTTTATCTACACTAACATAAGAATATCAAAATTATAAATTATAGGGTGTTAGCACTATAGGTATACACAAAAAGAGTATAACGTAAATAAAAATGGTACACCTAGATAAAATAAATTACATTAATCAAAACATTTGTCAGAAATATTGGGAACCGTATTGAATGTCGTCTTGGACACATGCTTTTACTGAAGACAGTTATAACTCGCAGTATTGACAGGCGACAGGCACTATAAACTCAAATTACAAACGTAAAACTGAAAATACACGAATGCGAATATATAGATACTTGTATAGCTAGGTAGGTAACTAATAAGATGCCAGACGGTAGCACAGATTTATATGCATAAATAAAATTGTTTTAAAATGAAAATAACTAGTAGGATGAAACAAAGCACGTCCGTAAGATTATAAATCAATACGATTTTGATATGATGAAAAGGGGCTATAGGTATATGAAGTTTTTCAGAATGAAGTTATTGAGAAATTCTTCTCGTTACCTAATAAAAAATTACAAATATTCGAAAGGGTTTGTTTGGCGTGCGTCCAATTATATGCGCTTGCGTTTATTTTTTTCTTTCATGAGCTTTTAATATTTAAAGTTGAGTATCAAATTATGGCCAAGACAGTTTTCACAGACAAATAAATATAGGCTCTATATCAAAATAATTTGCTAATCTTCCAAGTGTAGGTTGAATGTATTTAATAGAATATATTATTACTATATTTGCATTTGAGAGCATTAATACTGTTAGTATCAGATTCACAAGAAATATAATTGCCTGACTTGGTTTCTCCCACCTTTATCTTTTTTTATGGAAAATAATTAAGAACTATTGATTTATTAAATATTGACATGGACTGGATAGCAGCGTGCTCTCAATTTAATAAACATTTTTTTTTCATTTACACGACAAACGGTTAACAGATCTGTAAAAAAAAAATCTGAAACATTGTACAGATTGCCGCCGCAGCCATCCTTAAGGAGCGTAGATAAAATAAATAAAATATTCATAATATAAGTAGAAGGCATCATCGCCGCGGTGCGCCCGTGGGATCGGGCTTTGTGGTTCGATTGCGTCAAAGATATTTTTAGGATAGCGGGCGACAGGACGACGCGACCGCACAAAAAACTTTCAAGCAAGGGTGGCGCCGAATGTTGCCTAAACACACGTAGTCTGAATGTTCGAAGGACATTTACATTAGTAATGGCGCCAAGAAATAATTTTAATGAAGCATCTAAAGCCACTGTTACACGTAAAGTAAATATAGTGAACTTTAGAAATGTAGACGTGTACTATTAATCACAATGAATAATTAACTTCGCCACTGGCCTATAACGTGTCGATGACGAGCAGGATGCGCGTTCACCGATGCGATCGGTTATGGCGTCCGAGTGTACATAAACATCCATAGTCCTATGTAGAAACAGTAAATACGTTTGTGAAATGATGGACAAGATAAACAGAAACCGATCAACATGGCCCTGCGTCTTCTGTCCTTGTCGCACTCATGCAAACCTGCGCGCGGGTAGGAGGCGGCGCTGGGCGGGAGGCGCTAGCCGCTCCGCTGTGGAGATGGCAATTTTTTGTGTATACAGTATTGTCAATGAAGGGACGGGTAGGGGCGTACCGATTCAGGATCTCGTCTCGCACACCGCACTCAGTCAGTCACTGCAGGCGGCTGCGCTGAGCACGCGCACATGTTGCACGACGCGCTACACTGTCCGATCTCAACCCTAAGTATGAACTACGAAGGATGTGAGAGAATGGTGCCGATCAAACGCGAAGAGGAGCCCGAATGCCCGGATGAAGAGGATTACTACCGCTACGTGCCCGTGGAAGTGAAAAGACACGAGACGCAGGCATTCGCGCCTTCGTCGCCGACACACCTTATGGACTTGAGTAACGGCTCGGAGAGGCCGACGCTACAGCAAGCTTGGCCCTCCAATGTAATATTCGACAGCGATCAGGACCGCGATTATCAACAGCATCAATATCCTCCATACGATCAACTGTACATACCCGATCAGAGGCAGAGACAGATGTCTCGGACATTCTACTTCGACGACTCCAATTCCCAGGACAGAGCTGGCAGTTTCTATGAAAATAACGAAATGCCAAAATCGTGCGAGCCCGTTTATAGGGCATCGACCGAAGAGCGCAGCGACGACAACGAAGAACAGAGAAGGTCACGGAAACGTTCCTCCAAATCGTCGAGGAAGAAAACCCAGTCGTTCGAGGAAATACAAATTCAGCGAGTGATGGCTAACGTTCGGGAGAGGCAGAGAACGCAGAGTTTGAACGATGCCTTCGCCAGCCTGCGGCAGATCATACCATCGCTGCCCAGCGATAAACTTTCGAAGATACAGACGTTGCAGTTAGCGACGCAGTACATCGAGTTCTTGTACCAGATCCTCTCGAACAGTGAGTCCTCTACGAGCAGCGATGGAAGCAGCGACTCTGGCAGCGAACACGGCAAGTATCTCGCGCAGGACAAGTTAAGTTACGCTTTCTCCGTATGGAGAATGGAAGGCGAGTGGACTAATGGTCAAACGTGATATTTAGTTCTTATTAAGACACTTATAGGAGCTTTATTATTCCATAATATTATGATTGTTAATTGATTAATTTGTAAGAAAATGAAGTTTAAATTATAATTAAATAAGTAGCATGTTAAGTCGCACATTGTGATAGTTTTTGTAAATGATTAAGAAATGTCTTATTATTGTGATTAAAGAAAATTTTAATTTTAAGTCCATAGATTGTCGGTAGTTGAAAAATTGCTACACGGAAAGTTAATACAGCTGTATACCAAAAAATTAAGTAGGTAATTGTAAATGTAATAAGTACTGTACAATTTATGTTCATGGACCAAATTTAAATAAAAACATTATAATTAACTACGTTCTTATTATTTACTCTTGGAATTTTAAAAATGTCACAAAGATTAAGTGTATGTTCCCACGATCACTAACCAATTATGAAAAATTTATGTTGTACGAGTTTTAGAACATTACATAATTATCTAAACTAAAAATGATAAGTAGTTAAAATACAATTAATAATTTTTAAATCGAATAAGCTATTGACTATAGATTAACATTATGTGCTTAGTTGTAAAACTATTACTTTTTAGCTCTTGTTTTACCAATAAAACTGAAATCTATATTTTACCAATTTGACCTTTTATCCTGCAGTATGTATAGTGTAGAAAATTTAAAGGAGTAGATAAGATAATTGTCCGGTGAAAACTGTCTTTCGTACTTACAAAAATTTTCAAGCCACAAACAAAGGCATGAAATCAAGCTGGGAGGAACTGTATAAACAGTAAAAGGAACTAATTGACTAAAAAATTATTAATTCGATTAAAAAATAAATAAGGCATTTTTCAAAATTTAACTATTAAAATAAGCAATGGTGTTTAATAATATATTTGTATATAAAATAATTGAAAATAAGTCGTTCTTAGTTTATTTAAAAAAAAGACATTCAAAAAATAACGTTAAGCAATACAATTCATTTAAAGTAATTATTGCAGAACAGATTTAGGTATTATTAGTTAATTGCAACATAAAATTTGCTACTTTGTTAACAATAGTATATTATTATTAAACATTTTTTTCAGGCATAAATTTCTGGAGTCAATTTAGATACAGATGAAGAACTAGGTGTATAATTTTTTTTGATTGACTCTGGTTTTCATAATCGAGAACAGAAAGTAAGAACGAAGAGTATGTTCCTCACACAAGTCTTCCGGTAACCATTGATTTCTGTATTCCATAAACTAATTCGTTATAATGTTGGGCCTCACACAAAATGTGAAACTTGCATGACGTCAATTCAATCCTGGAGTCAATGAAGGCGAAGGGGAAATTTAATTTGGAATACAGATGACAAGAAAAGCAACGTGATGATTTGACTTTTTTGGTAACGATGAAAAAAGTTATAAATCGATACAATAAGTGCTCGTGGGTTTTAATTAAAATTTCAAAAACTGTAGCTAATTTATCATGAGTGACAAATTGCATTACAGACATTTAGATGGCAGCTCCAATAAACGACAAAGAGGTCGGTCGCTCGAAGAACACAGATGGGGAGTGTTTTTTTTTATCTTTACAAGGTACGCCAACAGCAAATACAAATAATATATAAAATAGATAAGATTAATCAAAAGTATTCACAACTTTCAATTAAGTTATCGACTAATGTTAAATATACCTACACCTTATTTGTATCTAAATTAACTATAGCAGTACAAAAAAAAAGCAAAAAGAAAAGAGAAAATATAGTATATAAATGCAGAACTAACAATTTGACATTAAAAATCTAAAGTTAATGTTAAGTTTAACGTTCGGGAAATTACACGATATCTTCTCGTCCAAGATTCCGTAGTTTTTAAAAACAAGAGTTTACACCCAGTGTGTGTGTGTGCTAGTAATGACGTATGGCACTGAGAGCATACAATTTCAAATATCATTTTATAACGATAATTAGAACGATAGATGTCGCCATTATTATATGAAATTAAATTTTTTTGTTGATCTCTGCACTTAAGGGGTCGTCCATTAATCACGTGAGATACTTTTAGCATTTTTTAACCCCCTCCTCCCCTTTGGTGATACGTGATGAGGTTTAAGACTATCCCTCAAAACCCCATCCAAAATCACCTGTATTTTTAGTACCTACGAAGAATTTTGTATTCTGAAATTACGAACCATATAAAAATGTAATGGCGAGTCAAGGTCAGACTACACTGCTTTTCGGTATAGAAATAACGCGTTTCACGAAAAAATAAATACACCTGATATCTTACCACACTTCCCCTCCCCCTTGTGATATTTCCTGATTTTTGCCAAATCCCCTCCCGCCCTTTCGAACCTCAAGTGATTAAAGGACGGACCCTAGGATAAAACAAAATTTTTTATTTCTATAAATTTTAATGTATTATCAGAAAGAATGGTTACTTTATATTTTTCTGAGAAGCTCTTGAGCAAGCGTGCTGCAATTTTTATTTAACAGGTTTAAAAGAAAACTTTTAAATAAACTTAATAATCTCTCTTAAATTATTTTATAGGCGACTTCTTAGTAACTTAAAACATTTTCTCGTAGTTCATGCATTTATTCAAAGCATTTCATTTATTTTCGTGAGTTCAGTTTTTGTAATAAAATAAAACATGTTTAATTAAAAAAAAATCGTTTACTTATTACGGTTTGTTATTACTTATTAACATGATCATTTGAATACAGCATACCCTTATGTAATAAAAACCCTTACAATCTTCTATAAATACGAGTCAAAGACATTTTTACATTAACATGTGCTTTCTTACGTCCGACTCCACAGACAATTCTTTAAGTTTTTAGCCTAATTAAACTAGACAGTGGCACCCTAATAGAAAAACATATAAGTTAATAAATCAACAAATATATATAATAAATGTTTTTATGAAGATAGTTTTATCAATCAATTCATTCTCCTAAATAATTAGTGGCGATTTATTATTTTTTTACTTGCGGTCATTAAAATAAACCAGTAAAGGACGTATCATTAATGTAAAAAATATTGTTATAGGTAAAAGCCACGAACATTTATTACAACAATATAAAATTCTAGGATTATTACTTCATTCAATACATTTCCTATTTAATAATATAATTCAGCACCAGCTAAGGAAGTATCATCTCGACCTCATCCGTTTCCATTTCATCTATCTGTAATAAAAATTACATTAGTTTTGACGGGAAAGTAAATTGAGACCATTAGTAAGTACTGTATACTGATAGTTATATAATATATTATTTAGTAAGTAGATGATCTTTATTAACTATGTAATTAACATGACTAATATACTTTTAATAACTTTTTTTTGGGATCGAGTTATTAAAACACTGTCAAGAAAACTGTTACCTATTTAGAACTGGTCCCCACGCGAAGTTAGTGTGTTTTCTACATCATTGTACCGTATAGAGTATACAAGTGCACTTATAACTACGGGCGAATTCTCGAGATATTCATGCTCAATTCCCAGAAGGACGAGACGTTTAATCCACCGCCCGAAGTTCAAATATATTCTAACTTTAAACATTATTTGCGTAAATGAAATTAACGATCGTGTAAATATATTGATTTCTTGATTTTACGCGATTATACATTGTGATATAGAACTATTTTACGGATTTTATCGCGTTTAATTAGATTTTTAAATTCCCAACATTTCGAACCCTTTCCAGCGTTTATGGTCACGGGGCAGGCTGAGTTATTTTACGCCTTAATGTCACAGTTTACTCGGGCTACCGTCAATTATTTATCTTTATTCCGATCTACGCAAAAGGAGCTTATGGTATCTTCGAGTCTACCAGTGTTGGTATGCCTGGATTTAATTTAATGTATTATGGGATCCCAAGCTGATGATAAATATTCGAATAGTAAATTTAAAACAAATAATCGGATTGAAATGAAGCAACACTGATTTTAATCTCTTAAATTATACTAGAATATTTAATAGCCGGTGCTAATTTCCATTGTGAAATTTTACTAAGTCGCATCTTACTGGAACATTTAGGTTGTCTGTTACGAAGTTCATAAAAAGGAAGCGATAAAAATTTCATTGGTGGTATGAGATTCAATAGTAGACGTAAATGGCGCCCAAATTTCTGTATTACACTCTACATGTGCAAGACAATAGATGACACTTGAACGTAGTGTAGAAAATATTAAACAAACCTGTGAATGTAAGTCTTTATTTAGATGCATCTCTTCTACTTCACCATCGCGGACCGTCCAGACGTCCGTTTTCTAGTAAGAAAATATCAATGTTATGAACTTTATCCTTTATCACTTACTTCCACCTCCATACATACATGTTTTCAGTACATTCCTAATATGCTCAATATCCAGTGGTATTTCACAAATTGTTATTGAAATTTATTTTCTTTGTTTATAAAAAAAAAATAGAACTCTTCTCTAATTACTATTTCTAATAAGATCGCCTTTCAAAGAGGTTTTTTCGAAAACACTCCCATTGGACTTTTTTTTATATACATTTCAAAATCATTCATATTTTCAAAATCAAATTTGAATGCAACAAAATTGGATTTTAATTAATTTAATTTATTAGTTACAATATTTTTTGACGCTGGTCAAATTTGCTCAAGTTCACGGACTTGGCTTAATTCTATGGTTATAGTCATGTTACTAAATTAAACGTCTGAATGATATCTAATTTGATATATATATCAATATTATGATTTTCTATAGGTGTGCCCTTCAATATGTTTTGATAATTTTTTAATTACAAAGAAGAGATATACCAGGAATAATCAATTAAACATGATTTTGAAAACATCAAAGCGACCAAAAGACAACTCATCTTGGTTACATACATAACAAAAGTTGAATAAACTTCTAATACTCTCACCTCATGGGATAAATCTTTGTCGAGATGTATTTCCTCCACTTCGCCGTCGACCTCTCGTACGGTCCAATCGTCGTCTTTCTGGTGAAATAATTGTAAGTTAAAATATAAACTGGTGATGACTCCGTGGCGTTGTTGCCAAGGTATTGGCTTCGGCGTCGGGGGTCGTGGGTTCGATTCCCACACGGGACAACTATTTGTGTGACCCACAGACAGTTGTTTCGCATATGGGTGTTGGTCCGCGTGAAATTTATGTTTGTAAAACGTCCATGTTATCCTAAAAGGGAACGTTTAAAAAAAAAACGGTGGTAGGGCCACGCAGCAGCCTCGGCTGTTGCACGAATGGGCAGGCCCGTCCGGGTAAGTACCACGACCTCACAGAAGACCAGCGTAAAGTGGAAGTATGACAAATATTTTCGCGTTTCGTCTGGTGAGTGAGGTAGCCGGAGCCCAATTTTCAAAAGGTTGTCAACGCATCTGTAACCCGCGGGTGTAGAAGATGTCCATGGGCGGCGGTATTCACTTAACATCAGGTGAACCGTCTGCTCGTTTGATAACTTTTCGCATAAGATAAAATAAATAAAATAACTTAAACCGGCAGCTTCTGCTGTTGCATATATGAGATGACTCCGTGGCAGTTGCAGAGGTGTTGGCCTCGGCGATGGGAGTTGTGGGTTCGATCCCCATACACGTGACCCACAGATAATTGTTGCGGATCTGGGTGTTTGCCAACGTAAAATGTATGTATGTAAAACGACCTCAACCAACGGGATAAGGTTATCCCACACTAGAGACCCGACCCGGCTTCGCACGGGTGCAATGTATTATACATATAAACCTTCCTCTTGAATCACTCATTCTAGTAAAAAAACCGCATCAAGATCCGTTGCGTAGTTTTAAAGATCTAAGCACACAGGGACAGACAGACAGCGGGACGACTTTGTTTTATACTACGTAGTGATTAAGGAGCCTCGATGGGAAGACTACAATAGATCTTCTAGGTCCCGATGGTCGATGGAACTTAATACCCGTCCATACAAAATACAAACACAGTACAAATTGATATATATATACTTGAAGTATCACGGCTTCAAAGGAGCTGGTCTCCTCCTCGTACAGTAATTTGATTTTTAGCTTTCTTCTGGTGATTATGGCAACAGTGGTTCTCTCTCTAAAACTATGTTATACAGCGTGTCGTTACCATCGCGACAATAAATGAACACACGTCTAACACTACTTGCCAATAGTCATAAAAAAATATTAACGTTAAACAAAATCCATAATTAAAAAAAAATATTTTTCAAACAAACTAATTAAGTTAAAAAGAAATAAAATTTGTAACATCCTATACAACTCGCGCCACAGCGTCGCATTACAAGCGTCTCCTTCTAACAATATGTTTTGTCTCTTTTAAATTCATTCAACCCATTCATATGCTTTGTGACCTTTACAAATGAACTTTACGTTACAGTTTTATACGTAAGGGTGTTATAAATTGTTTGTTTTGGAAAATTTAATAACTCTGTAAATACTGATGTTTGAAGAATGGAAATGTTTAATATAATTTTAAAAATGTATCCTCTATGTGTGTGTTCATTTACTGTCGCGTTGGTAACGACACGCTGTATATGTTGTATTTACAAATAAGTTAAACAAAATCAGCTTAATAGAAAAATTCCTAGGCCTACATAGAAATGTATGTAGAAACATACAGCCTGTATTTTCCGTTGAAATTCTTTCAGAAATATAACATACTACGTATAGCACTATTGCTATTAATTTCATGATAGAGAAATTATGTTGCATAGATGCACATTCGATTGAATTAAGGTACAATAGCGATCTATTTAAATCTTCGTAGGAAGCGCGTTCGCCACGCAGGGGGCCTGACATGTGCTACCGTTTAGGCTGTAAATAATACACGAACACATTAGTATCATACGTAAACCGCTCCAATAAATAAATTTAACTCACTTTTACTTTTTCATGAATTGACATGAGATTCAAAATTATTATGTGTAGTAGTTAAAAATTGATTTAATTGACACATTCTCAATAAATTTTAAATAGGAAATGCGAATGACAAGTTATACAAAAAAAAAAACCAATTGTACTTAAATTATTATTGTAACTGATATTTACAATAATAATTCACTATTGTTTTTTTCGTAATCTAACTGCTCTAGTTGAAGTGAACGCGTTCGTAAACTCAAAATTGATACACTATTATCGCAAATGAAGACCGTATTGCAATTAGAAAAAATAATACAATAAAGATACGTTATTTAACACGAACCAATAAAGATTGTTCATTTTGGCCTAACCCGGACCATTTCACAAGTCTACAATGTCTTAATACAGCTATAATTAGAATTAACACAGAAGCGTTCACTAGTCGTTAACTTATTATACTCGTTGCACGTTTGACGGCAACGCTATAACATCAAAAGAAGCTCGAGGTATTGTATTCACCACCATTTGGGGTATTGCAATTATTGGGTATTTATTGTTCGCACATTTTTAAATGGCCCTATGAAAAATGGATATATGGATATACTAACATTTCGGATAATTTAAACTTCAGGAAATTTTAGTGTTTTATATATTTAATTTCAATTTATACAGCGTGTCTTTACAATCGCCACAATAAATGAACACATATATAGAGGATAACTTTTTAAAATTGTATTAAACATTTACATTCTTTAAACATCAATATTTACCGAGTTATTAAGTTTTCCAAAACAAAGAATTTTAGAACAACCTTACGTATAAAACTAACGTAAAGTTCATTTGTAAAGGTCACAAAGCATATGAAAGGGTTGAATGGATTTAAAAGAGACAAAACATACTGATAGAAGGAGAGGCTTGTAATGCGACGCTGAGGCAACGAATGAAAAAGTCTCTGAATGTATGAATCAGTCAGTTGTAGTTGTATAGGATGTTACAAATTTTGTTTCTTTTTTACTAAATTAGTTTGTTTGAAAAATATATTTTTTTAATTATGGATTTTTTAACGTTAATTTATTTTATTATTATTGGCAGGTAGCGTTAGACGTGTGTTCATTTATTGTCGCGATGGTAACGAAACGCTGTATAATAAATTACACGATATGACGAAAGTATTAAATCCTTAAAAACAGAGTACCTGTTATTAGGATTAATTGCTATTTTAAGTTCATATTAAGTATTAGAATCTGTAGAAAAGGGAACGAAAAGTTTTTCGCCGCTATGGGAATCGAACCCACGTCTTTGGGATTCGCAGCCTGACGCTCTAGCCACTAAGCTAAAAGGCTGATTGCCACACCGACGAAATTCTCAATGTCCTTTATACACATTGTTTTAAGCATTTGAAGCAATGCTTGTCGCATCCATTGTTATATCCTTTCCAGCATACAAACAATTTCGAATATGCTTTTTAAAATTTTTATAGTGCTCCCTGCACGTAAGATTAAGCATTAAAATTTATAGAAATAGGAACGAAAAGTTTTTTGCCGCTGTGGGAATCGAACCCGGTCACCTCACTCACGGAACAAAAGTAGAAACATTTACTTCACGTCGGTCTGCAGCAGCTCTTTTTACATACGCTGATGTTGCTCTGTCCCAGTATGAGTGGACGTCTAGTCTAATAAGAGCTTACGGTAGAGAAAGACAGGAGATACAGACCAGCCAAAGGACTGGACTGCTGTGGCTGGGGGAAGGGTCCCTTCCCCCAGCCACAGCAAGTAATACAATATCCGTATATTGCGTCATGAATAAACTACAGTAACATTTAAGTTTCGCGCGAACTATACCGTTCTCGGTTCAGCGCAGTAGTCTCATTGGAAGACCCGAACTTGAAAAATTGGGATAGAAAGCCCAAGGTCGGAGGCAACGCATTTGTGACTCCTCTGGTGTTGCCAGTTTCCATGGGCGGCGGCGAACACCTACCACAACTAAATTAAAAAAGGAAAGAGGCGCGGCGCAGCGTTTTGATTGGTCGACGTCGAGCCTCTGACCTTGGGGCTTCGATCCCAAGGTCAGAGGCAACGCATTTATGACTCCTCTGGTGTTGCTAGTGTGCATGGGCGGCGGCGAACACTTACCACAACTAAACTAAAAAAGGAAAGGAAATAGGCGCGGCGCAACATTTCCATTGGTCGACGTCGGGCCTCTAACTTTGGGTTTTCGATCCTAAGTTCAGAGGCAACATATTTGTGAGTTCTCTGGTGTTGCCAGTGTCCATGTGCGGCGATGAACACCTACCACAACTAAACTAAAAAAGGAAAGGAAAGAGATGCGGCGCAGCATTTACCATTTTGTCGAACCTCTGACCTTAGGGCTTCGATCCCAAGATCAGAGGCAACATATTTGTGACTCCTCTGGCGTTGCCAGTGTCCATGTGCGGCGGTGAACACGTACCACAACTAATCTAAAAAAATAAAAGAAAAAGACGCGGCGTAATATTTCCATTGGGCGACGTCGGACCTTTGACCCCAAGCCCCAAGGCTTCGATGCCAAGGTCAGGGGCGCCGCGCCGGGCCGCATTCACACCGTACCGCAACACCGCTCACCATATGCTCGGCGGCGTCCTTGTGCGCCTGCTTCACGTGGTCGCGGAGGGCGAAGGCGCGCGCGTAGCTCGCGCCGCACAGCGAGCACGAGAACTTGAGGCTGTTCTGGCGCGAGTGCACCTCGGTGTGAACGCGCACCGCGTACAGCGAGGCGAACGGCCTGCGGGCGAACGCGATACTAAGACTTGGAGTAGCACCCATCTTGTGTTTTGGTTTTTTTTTTTTAACTTGTGATGGTGTCTACTCTGTTGGTGCAACTAATAAATAAATAAATAAAGACGACCCCGTGGCGCGGTCGCCGATGTGTTGGCTTCGGCGCCGCGGGTCGTTGGTTCGATTCGCGCACGAGACTTCTGTTTTGTGTGACCCACAGATAGTTGTTTGTACACGTTTTTTTTTGTTTCGTACGTTTTTTTTATTTCGTACGTTACTACACAATTTATGTATGGGTAACGTTCTGAGAACACAGGATAATCTTATCCTACAGTAAGGGGGCAATGTTTTCGAAGGGAAGATTACAGTAGATCTTCTTGGAGAGCTTCAGAGCGTGGAAGGTCTAGCGTCACTGGTGGGTTTTTGCCCGATGAAAATATAATTGAAAATAAATTTGAAATTCATTAGAGCAGAGCTGCAAATTACCTGTTACACTGTTGGCAAGAGAAAGGTTTCGTGTGAGAATTCTTGTGGCCGGCTAGCTGCACTGATGTCTTGAATGCTTTGGGACAGTACGGACATTTGTAAGCGCGCACTTCGGAGTGTGTGAGCAGGTGATGGTTGTACACACTGTGCGCCTTGAACCTGGGAAACAAACAACTGGTTACAGATGCTTATAACAAAATTAAGACTTCCAAAGTCATTCAGTAAATTTAAGAAAACATGTGATACACTGTACCACTCTTTTTTCCCAACACACACACACACTCCCAAGCTACCTGTACACTGTAAACTTGTAAACACGTCATTGATACTTTATTTGCTGTTATAATTACCTATATTAAACGCTATGTGGTTAAGGCCTGATGAAAGACAAATGGCACCAGTAATCCACACCTAAAATAATAATTATAGCAAATGATATTGTTTTGTTCTTAAGTTAGTGGTGAGAAATAATCGATTCTTATCTCATCGTTTAAACCAGTAATTCTTGTAACGGCAACGGCTCCAGCGAATTTCATTAAATTTAGTATGTGCGTAGACTCAGGGGCGAAAAATCGATCTAGCTAGGTTCATTTTTAGAAAATGTCCTTTTATCCCTGTTTTCGGGGAATGAAAAATATCATTCGAATATGACGGTAAATTTCGCCGCAAAAAAAATGTTATAATAGCTCGGTCGGTAATCGGGCGGCCCCAAAACAGACGGCCGCGGTTCGTATCACGATCATTTACACATTCATTGCTTTCTTTATTTTTTATTTTTTTATTTCCAAAATATATGATTTACCAAAAAAACCGGTGCTCCACGTACTTATTCTTTTATGTTGGAAGTTGGTAAATGCACAAAAGTTTAGCGTCGAAGGAGTTGCTAAAGCGTTGCCAGCGTGTTAGTTAGGAATAGACAGTGTTCTCTAAAATCTGTATCACGATGTATGTTAAGTAAAAGAAGGCAAAGGAATTTACCCGAGCGTGTGTCACTCCGTGGTAAGCAAAATGGAATATGCAAGGCGACGTCTCTTCGTAAGGCCGAAGGAGAGACGTTAAGAATAACGTAAGATACGATTTAAAGTGACAACATGGTTGGTAATGAGAACACTATTCCGTAACCGGCCGAACATGATCTTGCTGAGGCTTCTTTTGTCTTCTGTTCTACGTGCCAGCGAAACAAGACATCGCTTGATATATCAACGCCAAGAATCTCAGCTGTGACAACAAAGAGAGGATTCTCAAAAAGATAAGATACGATATAAGTTTAACTTTTAACAGTAAGACGAAAGAAGTCCGATGATTTAGAACTTTTTGTGTCGCTAACATTGTTAGCTAACGATCCCATTCGTAGCTATCTTCAAATGGAAGTAATAATTTTTAGGTAAACATTTTATGATCGAAAAATATAACGATGAACGCTAACTGAACCATTAGAAATTCAATCGAATAAAAATAATAATTGGCTTCTAAATACAGCGCCGAAATCTACTTTATAGCGATGGCGATGGACGCGGTCGTAAAATTCAAATGTGTCGAAATGGGACGTCGCGTAATAATATTGATATATTATAGCTATCTGAAGATTTTGAAGGAGCGACACATGGCTGAAATTCCACCGTTTATGAAGTCATACTCTAAAAATACACGCAGCTCTTTATAGAAACAGTTATGACAAAAGCTAATATAAAAACTTGCAGATTTCGAACCGGTCATTCAAACTGCAAATTAAGTTTCATTAAAAAATTAATTTTATCTAGTAGATGGTCTTATATGTTGTTATACCTAAAGTACCGATACCTATACATATATTAACACTAGCTGATCCGGCAAACGTTGTTTTGCCATATAAAATATTTGCAGGGTAGGAAAAAATGTTTGGGTTGGACCACCCTTAACATTTAGGGGGATGAAAAATAGAGGCTGTCCGATTCTCCACCCTGGCCGATATGCACACAAAATTTCACGAAAATCGGGCGAGCCGTTTAGGAGGAGTTCAATTACAAACACCGTGACACGAGAATTTTATATATTAGATATTTATAGATACTAGTATTTATATCTTGTAGTTATGTTTTAAGATATATTAATCGTATTTTGTAACATTTGTTTAAAGTCATGGTTTATGCGCGTCTTTTTTATGTTGGGTTATACCTATATCCAATTGTGTTATTTTTTACAATCCTTGAACTGCTGTGAATTTTTGTGAATGGGAAACGTTTGGCATTTATTGTTTAGTTATTATCGCTAGTGGCTGCGATGTCGCACCAAAGAACTGTGGTTGCGGATTTCCCGTAAGCGCACACGAAAGGGATTTTCGTACTTGAGCTTTTTGATAAGGAACTTTCACGTTTTGACTTAAACACGAATCTATGTGACTAACGGCCGTTTGTTGAATATAGGAACCGGGCATTAGTAATAAGGCCGCCCATTGTAAAATCCATATATAACTGTTATATTTAACGTAGTTTCCGCCAGTGTGTGCAATAAATAATATTCATTCACTCAGTCATTCATTCGTTCATTCATTCATATACCAACACTAGTTCGGCGTACCTTTTGCCGCAGTGCGGGCATGCGTACGGACGCGCGCCTGTGTGCGTGCGCATGTGCAGGGTGAGACAGTACGAGACGCGGAACGCCTTTCCGCAGATCTCGCAGGTGTGCGGCTTCTCGCCTGCAATTCGGGTGTTCGCGTTAAGGCAGACTGTGCTTCATCTTCATTTTTAGCCGACTTCAAAAAAGAAAGGACGTTTCTCAATTCGACCGTATATCTTTTTATTTTTTTTAGCGTGTTCGTGGATAACTTCGTCTTTTATGGACCGATTTTGATGATTATTTTTTTGTTGGAAAGGAGATATCCCAAGGGTGGTACCATGATAAGGCAGCCCGGATCTGATGATGGCATCCCAGTGAAATCGAGGGAAACCCTCAAATGTTATAGGTATTAACAAAGTTTTTTAGTTTCCGGTTTGAAGTCGGTTTTTTTTTAATTTTTTTTTTTGTTTTTTGGGAAACAGGAGGCAAACGATCCGGCGGGTCACCTGATGGTAAGCGATCACCGCCGATGAACACTTTCAACGTCGTGCTCGAGCGTGGAACGCAGAATTCATGCAATAGATTCATTCACCCTTTTGAATCTCATTGAACTGCATGCCTGTATGTAGTATTCGTCATTACCTGTGTGTATTCTCTCGTGTTTGACCTTCTCGTGCGGCCTCGCGAATTTTCTGTTACAGTACAGACACGTGTACGGCAGCGATTTGTCCTGTTTTCCAACCACGACCTGAACAATAATAATTCGGAATAAAATTTTGTGCGCACAAAGAAATTTTATACCTGCTATAATTATTTAAGAAAACATTAGTAAATATTCAAGACCTATATAAACTACTCTCCCCTCTATAAAAACTAAACTCGAAATTAAAAAAAAAAGAACATCTGCTACTCTGATTTTCTGCCAGTCTCGTTTTAAAACCAAACATCTTTTCAGCTCTTGAAATAATCAAAGGCGACGAAGTAACTTAATATTACACCTATACTATTTGGAAGAACAATTTGTTTGAAGCCACAAATATAGTGTTCTCTACACATATTACAGGACACCCTAAATTTTGAAAGTCTAAAGTCTTTCATAAAATAATCAATGCATAAATAATGCCCGCCACTTGACTATAAATAATAATCACCTTGTCCATATTATGTACAGTCATGTGCATTTTCAGATACTCCTTCGAGTGGAACTTCTTGTTGCAAATGTCGCAGTTCATTTTGTTGCTGCTGCTGTGCGAGTTCTGATGGATGGTGCGGTAGTCCTCCGGTATCACTTTGAAGCATATCGGGCATATGTATTTGTCGTCGCTCGCCGCCGTTCCCTCCACCGTCTCCACCGGTGGCTCTATTGGGCGGGACCTGATCGATAAGTTTACGGGAACAGTGACAAATGACATTCGCTGCCAAAGTAAATAGTAATGGCCTATCTCCCACTGCTGGGCAAAGAACTTCTCTGTACAGAGGATTGTAAGGCGCAGTTCACCACGCGGCCCCATTGCGGAATCGCCGACTTCACTTAATGACACGTCCACTGTACACTGTGGAACGCTCGCTTTAAATTATATACTAGAGCAACCTGACTCCAAATCACCGTGCCGGCATCAATAAAATTGTTACATTCAATTTTAAGTGCTGACTTATCACTTGCTGTCGACGAAGCAACCTGCATATGTTCGAAATAGTGCAGTAAAATGTCCCACTGCTCGGCAGAGGCCACCTATGTACAGAGGACATAGTGAACCACTCAACCGCGCTGCGGATTGGCGGATTTCGAAACATTTTATTTTTCGTTATAATTTCGAAAATATACAGGACATATAATTCACGATGCTTCCTTCACCGTTGAACACATGATAAGGAGATTGAACTCAAATTGCTCAAATATATTGAATTAGGAGTCGGACAATTTCTTAATAATCTTCTACTGTTACACGAGTGGACAGACTTGTCTCCAGCACAACGACGAAGTCACAGAAGACGACGTGAAGTTGTTGGAAGCGTTACGTTTCGCGTGTCGTCTGGTGTTTGAGGAAACGGGGGCCCCACTTTTTTAAATGTTGGCAACACAACCCCATGGGTGTTTTAGATGTTGATAAGCGGTGGTAATCACATACAATCAGAACCCGTTTTTAAACTTTTCACATAAAAAAACATTACTCTAAAAGAATGGGAATGAAATCCGCACCTTCAGGGGTAAGTAAACTGAAAAACATATTTATAAAGACCGTTGAAAACTAGCATGCGGTAACTTGTGATTGTTGCCAACATCTTAAAAGATTACATCGCTCACTAGCGGAACTGTGCATTATTTTACCCCACGCTCGTTTTCTGTAAGGTCGATGAACTTCCCCGAATTCACATGAGACCAGCGCGAAATGGTCCATTGCATATAACAAAGTAAGTGGGTCTTTTACGGTTAGAACCGAATTTACCGGTATGAATTAATTTCGAATATTTTGTACTCACTTTATCGGATCATGCATCCGCTTGTGAAGCTTCAATGATTTACTTGTAAGGAAGACCGTAGAGCAAATTCCGCATTCGAACGTAACGGGATTTTCAAAGTTTATATCTATTAGGCAAAGGAACACACTAAATTTAATCAATGTAATAATTTTTTAACTCATTTGGAAATTATTTAAAATGTACTCATTCGGGAATTCCAAGCTCTCTGCCATAATATTGTACTTTAATTGTATTGTTTGCAGATCAAAGGTTTCATATTCCTGTCAGAAATAGAGCCAACGAAAGAAAGTGTATTACGAGCGAAATTACCTGTTTTAGTTTTATGTACTTTCATATGTGCGCAAAGCGACTTTGAATTATCGTATGCGACAGTACAGTGAGGACATGGGTATTTCACTGAAAAAAGAAAAGCAAATTAAGACATTGGAATATAATCTAAAGCATTTGAGTAAAAATAGAATTATTTGACTTACTTACATGCTTTACAGGGATGGCTTTTGAATTCGGACAATGAAGAGACAAAAATATTGCATGATGTGCAATTGAAAACTTTTATTTTGTTACCCATGGTTGTTTGCATTTCTTTTACAACAACTTTGTGATATTGGACATTTTTATCTGCAAACAGGCACAGTATTGGTGTCAAATTACAGATAATATATACTTATTTCTCTTTAGATAAATGAATCAAGAGAAATTATATTTAAAAACAAATAGAAACATACTGACAAGAGACAAGTATAATTTTTTTTAGTATGTTTTGATAAGAAGCGACAGTACTGTCAGTAACTGTAGTAGACATATGTCTAGTTATGTTACATTACAATTATATTACATAAAAATATATATTTCCAAAGTTTAACACCACTTTATGGCGATACTTGTAACGCAAATATATATTTACGGTGACGTGAGCTCAGTGTTGCTAAAGAAGATAAATTTATTCAAGCTCTAGAAACGCTTAATTTTTTAATAATTGTAACACTGTGCCGTTGCTAACACACCTGATGTTTAAAAAATCTACAAATTTGACCAAAAGTAATGTTGAATAAAGATAGTCTGTCATAAAGGTTCATAGCACTTATTATTCTTAAACATAGAGGGAATAGTTTAATGTTTAAAATTTAAAATAGTATAGTCATTCCTAACCCTTACCATTGGTGTCTTTATCTTTTGCAACTGTGTCACAAAAATTTTCAACTTTAACAAAATGCCTTGTTGCCTCGGTTTTGTCACCTTTGTCCCCCTTCAATGGTATAAGAATTGTTTTTATAGATTGGTCTGCAAAAAAAAATAATTTGGTATACAATATACAATTATAAAGGTTACAATACATATCTTTTCAAGATCAACAAATATTAAGAAAGATTTACTATTAAGTGTTAAACAATCACATGCTTTTCCATGTTTTTTAAATTACTGCTTTGTTTGATTTGAACCAACTAACATAAAAAAGCTATTCCTATATTAGACATCATTATATTTTACCAAGGGGTTGTGTATCATCATTGCTTGATTCTAATATAATTGGAGCTTCAACAATATCACCGGTGTCTGTGATCATGCGCCGAGGAATTTGTTTGTCACTGATGGCTGACTCCTCAGTTTCCATTGTTTTTTCATATTCTAATGAAACCCCATTGGGACCAACTTCCACCCTTTCCTGAAATTATTTTCCCATGACATTTTTAATATATCATTATCTCACATTCAGTTGTATTGAATATATTGATATATAAAATACTAGCCCAAGTATCAAAATATTCAAAGCCTTACAAATAATATGGAAATTGGACTTTAGCATAGTAGATCACAATTAATTAATATATTGGCTTTATAGGAATGATACTTAAACATCTGTTCACATAAAACTTTAAAATATTAGAAATTAATTTATAAATACATACATCCATTTAATTAAAAGTATAAAACTATCTAAGCCATTGTTTGTGCTTTTGATGTCACAATTGGTGCTAAGTTGCTAAGCTAATGACTTCCCACATGGGAATTTGAAAATAACTAATACATTTTTTAAGCCGTTTCATTCAAAACTACATCTCTTAATAAAAATATTTGTTATTAACTCAACATCAACACACTGTTAAATTTTAATTACCTCTACCACCACATCTTGATCATTGTGGTAAGTTTGTATATGTTCTATAACAGAAGAGAAGGATACTCCACATGTATTACAATTATATTCTTCTTGAACTTCCTCTAACTCATTTTCAGTTGAATTGTTTTGACCTTCAATCTCCAATTTTGTTTCTGAAATTGTAATAATAACATTATATTTAAAATATTAGTCATTAAACAAAAAGATATATATTAGATATTTATTACATATTAGAGTGCAGAAATTAGTAAAATAAAATGAATTATAATTTCTAAAACAAAAAATATTAAGTACTGTAATGCTATAAAAGTAAACTTAAAATTTGTAGAAAAACCGCCCAGATGCTTAAACCATAAGCTAAATGGTTGATTGCTACATTGATAAAAATTAAAATCAACAATCACCGATAACAATGTAATTTGCCTACATAATTTTACGCTTTTAGCAATGCTTGGTGTGTCATATTATCTTTTTTATGGAAAAAGGGGCCAAATGGTTATCTGAACTAAACAGTACACATACACATATAATTAAATCGTCATTTCAATATTTGAAAGATGTACTATTTATTTTGCAATCATGATTACTTTTATTTAAAACCCATTATCAAGCACTGTTTTCAAAAATACATACCTTTGTCGGTCATAGATATAGTTCCATCATGATTTTGTTTAACTACCATGCTGTTTGCATTTAATATGGAATCATCATCTGTCAATATCACATACCTATCAACACTCTCTTTGACAAGTTTTAGTTCCTGTGTCTGGAGACATGGCTTTAACAACTGTTCATTTAACAACTCTACATACATTTTATTTACTTGTGTACCTTCATCGCTAGTATGCAAGCGCATTGTACTATTGGGCAGATCACTTTCTTCAAATTTATTTTTCATGTTTTCTGCAAAAACAAAATATTAAATTTATATTTTAATGTTAAATGTGCCTATGATTGTCTATATCAATTCTTACCATTGGCATGGATGATTTTTAAGTTTGATTTGTTTTTACCATTGTCATTATGACCTGTGATTAATTCTATTTCATTTTTACTGTCAGAATTCTGGATATTATTTGTTTCTTGGCAATTATCAAGGCTTAAATGTTCTATAAGATGCACTAATGTAGACCATTTATCTTTGCATATTGGACAAATTAAATTTGATAAAACGTTTGCTAAATGTTCAATAAGTTCATGTTTCGAATTAAAGGTTTCTTTACAACATAAAGTGCAATTTATCATTACGTCTCCCATTTTTGATAAGAGTCATTCATTCATCTATGGCATCTGTAAGTCACTGATTTGCTTCTTAGAAAGCTTTCAGGTTGAGGTTTGAGCATTATTTTGTAAACATTATCATTGCATATCTACAAAGTGCTACATTCAGTTTGTATCTAAATTCTCAACACAAATTCATTTTTGAAGAACTTCACACTAATTTGTAATTTAGAGCAAGCGTATTCGTAGCAAAGCAAAGGTAAAACATACAGATGCAAAAGAAGAGTTGTCAAATCGTAAAACGTCACAGCACTGTGGTGACTTTTGAGAGTAAAGAATAAATTATTCTACGGGAAAATCATTTGACTAGATTTAATCTTAGAATTTACGTTTATTCCTATACTGTAGCTTTACGTAACTCTAAATATTTAAAATGTTGTGTTAATTGAATTTAAAAATCTTTATCATCACTAGATAAAAAAATAAAAGTATTATCGTAGTCACTTCATACTCTTTGAACTGCCTAGGAAGCGAGTGTAAATGTTATAACAGGTATATTACAACAGACTGTACCTACTACGAACAAAGTTAGTTAATACATAGTTCTTTTACGACCCAAATTAAATTTTCCTTAACGCGCTATCGACCTGAACCGCACCACATGATGGTATTTGCCGAAACTCAGATGTTATTACATATGACGGATGATATAGTTCTGAATTCTGAAGTCATCGTTGATTGGAAGTGTCAAAATTGTTCATTTTAGGGTTCCGTACCCAAAAGGTAAAACGGGACTCTATTATTAAGACTTCGCTGTCTGTCTGTCCGTCCGTCACCAGGCTGTATCTCATCAACCGTGAAAGTTATAATAATAATAAAGCCTTTTTATTTCCCATCACCTAAGTATTACATGTAAGTATATATGAATTTCACTTATGACTAATCACTTAACTATAGTTATTTTTTATTTATTTTTTGATAGGAACTCCTGTTTTGGTATAGGCCTCCTCCATTTTAATCCAGTTTTCCCTGTTTCTCACTTGATTAATCCACTCCTTGCCGGCTGTAGCTTTGATGTCGTCACTCCATTGTTACATAGGTCGTCCTTTCCTACGCCTTTTTCCTTTAGGCCTTTTCCAACTTGTTACTTCTACTGTCCATCGCTTATCGTAGTAACGTGTAACATGGCCACCTCATCGCCGCTTAAAACATATACAGTAGTGCAGGAAATCTGTAGTTTTGTCATCTATCATATAGATTTGTTCTTATTTTTTGCATTTTCCTTATTTTAAGTCTTCTCTCCATCGCTTTCTGACAACACTTAATTTTGTTTTTGTTTTAGCATTGTAGGTTCCAGTCTGTTATCCATACGTGAGAGTCGGCAGAACGCATGTATACATCAATTTTTTTTAAGGTGGACCTTAAAAAAATTGTTAAACTTTCATAATTTATTTACGGAACCAGTATTTTTTTCAGCTCATATTTATTCGGCGTTCTAGGTCTTCTTCATCGTTTCTCTCTTCTATGGTTAAATAACAGGAACCGGTGTAATAGGTATTGCGATTACACCTAGTGTAATCGGAATATTTTTTTTTAAGTGGGGCTCCCATACAATAGATTTTCTTCCGTTTTTATAGATAACGGTATGGAACCCTTCGTGCGCGATTCCGATTCGCACTTTGCCGGATTTTTCTTTTCTTTTTCACTCCGTCGACAACTGCTATGTTCATTTTACCCTCGCTGCTAGCCCTGTTGTGGAAAGTTTTGCAACTGTTATTTACTGCTTACGGATAGACAGACACTTTTACAACTGTTCTACCATGTGAGACGTTTCTCCTTACCTATACACTCTATACACTAAACTATACTACAAATAAGATGATTTTGAATTTTTAAGACTTTTAAGATTGACAATAATTATGTTATATATTTTTGATAGCAATTTTTTCGTAATTTAAGTAATTGCTATATTGCTAAATGGTTTGTTATTCCGGTAGTGATAAAAAAGTGTATAACAAAAATTATGGTACCTTGGCAGTATGTTAAGTACATTACGACATTCTTAAAAAAAAAAAAAGTTTTATTTATTCGCCATTTTGTCGTGGCAATTTGTTTTCTTTGTTTACTCAGTTTTTTGCATAACAAATAAAAGTTCCATCTTTTTTAAATAAAGTAACCAAGTGTACTTCTATAAATAAAACTAATAAAGGGACAAGTGTTTACGAGAAAAGTGTTAACAACAAAGCCTTTTTCTATAAAATATTTAAGAAAACATTTGACGGCTTGTGTATGTGTGTTTGTATATATATATCATTTTCGCGGGTAAATTTAACCGATCTCAACCAAAAATGATGGGGAAAAGAATGCATCACAATAGTAAAGGAAGATTAGCCAGTAAAGGTCACGACAATGGCAAACCTTCTAGTCCTGGGGTCTCACCTTATAACAAGCCTTCAAAAATACCAGGTGCAGTATCTGTTGGTAAAACTAAAGTAGAGACTTCTACTATGCCATATATTAGGCTTCAAGATAACGCGGTGACTTTACCTAGATTGACAGCTATTTCTGCCAGATCAGCAGATGAGCCTATCGGAATGGATGAGCTTGATGCATTACAGTTAGAATTAGAAACATTGTTGTGTAATACGGCGTTACGTATACGATATTTCCAAGGAGAAATCGAGAGCATTGATACAAATGAATCCAAAAGAGAGAAAAAAGGTAAAGCAGCAGGAAAACAGTTGCAATATCCAGTTAAAAGAAAATTTCAAGATGATAAAATAGTGAAAACCAAAGATTATACAAAATTATCAAATCAACCTAAAGTTCCAAAATTCAAAAATTTTACTAATGCGTCCTCTGGAGCTTCACATAATAATTATTCCAATGACACTACTGTTAATTCGGAAAATTCTGTAAAACTTGAACTCTCACAACTCTCATTACCGAAGAATAATATTCCATATAAATTTTGGAATTCTGTTGATCCTTATTGTGCACCAGTCTCATTAGATGATATAAAATTTTTGGAATCCTTACTTGCCCAAAGTAGTAATACAACATTACCTCCCATTCCACCACTGGGTAGACACTACTCAGAAGTATGGGCTGATGAGCATTTGACTGAAGATCAAAATGCAGGTAATCCAAATAAGCTGAAGTCATCTGGAATGTCTCCAGAAGCAGGCAACTTAAGAAAAAAATTGGAAAAAACTAGTGAAAATATGATTACAGGTCCTTTGACTCAAAGATTGGTATCGGCTTTAATGGAGGAAAATGTTATGCCTTATGAAATACCTGACATAAAGGTTAAACAACCATCAAATGTTAAAAGCAGTTATAAAAATTCACTTACTTTAGAGAAATGTCTTAGAAAAGAGTTAGTTGAGCAAGGCATACTGGATCCTGAAGATCTGCCCCCATTAACTAATCCTGCAGATGATGAAATTTTAGCAGAGATAAAGAAGTGTCAGACGGAATTGACTGCTGTTAGAAAAGATAATTGTAGGAATCTCAAAAATCTAATTGACCTATGTAAACAAGAAATGATCAGACTGAATCTAAAAAAACAACTTGATCAAGTTGACATGGAGTGTATAGATATATACAAAAAAATGGTTGCTGCAAAACAAAAGAAACGTCCGATCACTAAAAAGGAAAAAGAAGATGCATGGAGGGCCATCAATGAACAAATAAGACTTAACAAAGAGATAAATGCCTTGCCATTGACTGGACCAAATACAAGTTAAATTTAAAATAAATGTTAAATAATCAGCAATATGAGTTTTTAGTTATAATTAATGTGTAGAAATAAATAATGTTAACTATTTATACCTAGCTTTATTTTTAATTTGTTCATTAACCATGTTTCAAAATATATTAGGTGATATTATTTTGTACACTTAATGTTTTTTGGACTATTCGTACTACAGTTGAAAAATTGCATGAAAAGTGTAATTACACTGCAACTATGCATGCTTTTGTAAAAGGGCAATTTTTATTTTTCTATTGTTAAATATTTTTAAAAATAAATTGTTCCATTATTATTAAAAATAATCTTTATCTAACTACATATTTAAAAATATATTTTAATTTATTTTTAAAAGGTTTATTTAAAACATATGTTAAAATAGTATGGTAATAAAAATTAAATATCTAAGAATTTTCTATAATTATACAGCGTATCGTTACCACCGCGACAATAATTGAACACATATAGAGGATAACTTTTTAAAATTGTATTAAACATTTACATTCTTTAAACATCAATATTAACCCAGTTATTAAATTTTCCAAAACAAACAATTTTAGAATATCCTTACGTATAAAACTGTAACGTTAAGTTCATTTGTAAAGGTCACAAAGCATATGAATGGGTTGAATGAATTTAAAAGAGACAAAACATACCGTTAGAAGGAGAAGCTTGTAATGCGACGCTGTGGCGCGAGTTGTATAGGATGA